TTTGGCCTCCCAGTCATACCAAAAGAAGTGCCAACCAATACCTGGACCACCTTGAAGGGTACATGTGCTGGGTCTTTGTGAGAAAACCATGCTTTCAGGCGAAACAGCACTTTGGTCATGATTCCCGAAACGGCGATTATTTGCAGCGAAACGGCGACTTTCCACTTTTCACTCTCGTGCAGGTATCAAGGATTTGATGCTGATTGAGATGTCGAAATGACTGTTTTCATTCGAAACGCCTGAAGAAACAGCAGCTTCACGAAATGGCTTAAATTTGATCCTCAAGGTGTCCCAGGCATCAAACAGCCCTATGTAACTCTCCGTAAAACTCCTTTTTCAGACAGGCTGAAATGGTATCGGAATCTCCCATGTCCATTTCAAAGGGTGCGTGGCCAAGACCTGCTGTGGATGGACGAAATCCGTTTCGCACCACCTAAGAAACCATTGGAAACCACTGTTTGTTGGTATTTACAGGGAATCAGACCATCCCAGGGCTTCTTGGGTGGCGCGAAATGGATTTTGTCCATCCACAGCAGGTTGCAACCAAGGCTGCCGTGATAGAGAGTATAGACGTGACGAAGCTTGGGTGTTCCAGCCACGTCAGCTAAGTGGCTTGTAGCGGGACGAAGCCCAGTTTCTTTTTTTTTTGCGGCTGTATCCATGGAAACCCAAACACCCTTCGCCTATCCACTTGCCACCACCCCACGCAGTTGAATTCAACATGTTTATTCACAACAAAGAGAAGTCACCCAATAATTTTGGGGCAAAAACACATTTTTGGGGTAGATTTTGACTCGCACCTTCGTCTCGCGCGGAGCGGGGCCGCGCGGATCGAGAAGCTGGTTGGTTGGTTCACAGAGAAATGGCCCCAGTTTCGAGGGAACTCTTCACAGGGCCCATCCCCCGTCCCTAAGTGCAACAACAAATGAAATTTCACTGTTTCTAGCTCTAGCGTTGGTCCAGGTTTCTAGCTCTAGCGTTGCTTTGATCTGTTCTCGCGGGTGACGCCCGCAATCCCTGTGAAGTCACTGTTCGTTGCTTTTTCGCTGGATGGCTTCAGACATCAAGGCAATCCTCACACCTGCCTTTGCCAAATCGTACCCCCAGTGAACATCCGATTCAATCCCCACTAAAATAGGCTCCAAAAATGGGTGGCGAATTCACCTACCAACCAAACTGGTACCCTTGGTGTTGACCACAGCCACCGGCCTTTGGCGGTCACTGGCGCCCCGCCCCAAAAACAAATGGAACACGCGCCGGGCCGCGAGTCGGCGTGCTTGTGGCAGCCTGACGGCCGAGGTCGTCAGGCCGAGGTCCATGCGTCCATGACGAAAGAGCTGGGAGAAAAAAAACAAACAAAAAAAACGCGCCCTTCTAGAGGTGTGTGTGTTGTTATGTTTTTTGTTTATCCGGTTGCCCGAAAAAAAGGAGCCTTTGGCTCTCTTCCTGAGTTCATGGACTTTTCTAGGGATTGATTCCAGTTCCATTCTTTTCAGCCATCGTTTTTGTTGAAAAACCCGCCAATTCTCCAGGTTTTTTGGTGGTCTTCTAGAAAGAAGGATCCCTGGAAATGATGGGGGAGTTACCCCTGGAACCCTGCCTTTTTCTCCTTTCCAAATTCCGTGCGTCCGCAGACTCGCAGAAGGAAACATGTACGGGGAAGACCCCCTTTAGCCCCCTCCCATCCATCTCATTCCAAAACACAGATGCACCCGCATGTTTTTGGCACTCTTGTTTCAAGCGCGCTTCCCGATGCTTGGGTAGTCAGCTTGGCCTTCGATCGCTGTGAGCAAGGCTTCGAGACTCATTGGCCACACGCAGAGTCTGGTGGAAGAGGATGAGCTCCCCGGTGGGGCTGGTTGATTCCAAAGCGCTCATCCAAGCACCATCTGATTCGTCAGAGTTTTATCCTCCAAAGCTGAACCTGACTTGGCTGGTCCAAATGCCTCGGGGCCGTTTCTTTGGCCGGGTAGCTGCCTTGTTTGGGGATTGATTTTATCCCTGGAGTTGGTTTTCCCGTTAACTGCACAAACGGGTGTGTAGCTTGGACTCTTCCCAACATGGCCATGTCCGGCTTTCCTTGTGTTCCGTCTTTAACTCCCAACCAACAGGGGGTCTCCTCCAAAATAAGCAAACCCACTCACGTCTAGGTTGACTGGCCAAGAAAAAAATAACTTTTGTTGCCACTAAAGTGGTGTTCCCAGAAAGTTTAAAGTTCTAGGGCTACCTTCCCCATTCTTTCCAGGGATAAAACCTCAAGAAACCCTGTGGAAACGACCGATTTTTGAAAAGAACGAAACGATGGTTGAAAAGAATGGAATTGGAATCAATCGGTAGAAGAGTCCATGAACTCAGGAAGAGAGCCAAAGGCTCCTTTTTTCAGGCAACCGGATAAACCAACAAATAACAACACGCACGCCCTGATTTTTTTCGGCACCTTGGAGGGCCGCTTGGGGCTGGAAGGGCTGGAGCTCACGCTCACCTTAGTTCTCAGGGAATGGCCTCCAGAGGAACCAGCCACAGCCGATTGGGTCCTAATGTTGACCCGGGATTCATAAACCCCTGTTTATTAATATGGGGGTGTTCCCCTCCAAAAGTGATGAACTTTATTCCGGGGCTAACATCTGTACCAAAACCGATCTATCTGTACCAAAATGGTCGATCAACAGAAGCGTGTGAAGAGTTTGGCGCCGGAGGCACCCATGAATGGTGAGCTCATTTTAAGAGCTCGCTAATGGGAATGTAGCTCAAACGTACGCGAAAAAACCTACGGGTCAACTGATTCATATTGATTTCTCCCTGAGGGATTCAGGGGTTCACCAAACTTCCGATTCAAGAATCGGAAAAGGGCCTGACTTTGGCACTCCCAGACTGAACTGTCAGTCGGGACAACCTGCAGAAACTCGAGCGAGACCCGTTTCAAGCGGGGGGGTCGAATCCGCTTGTGTCGCGATCGTTTCTGGAAACGCAAAAAGGGAGGTGTCAGACCCCAACTGCTGCTGTGCGGCTTCCCTGTCAAACAAGCCAAAACGACTACCCCTGAAAACAACGCACCCTCAAAACAGACAACCCCCCCTGGCCCTTTTTAATACATTTGAAGGACAATCATACAATGAAACCAACGATCTTTGGACTGGGCCACCTCGGATCCCCTGCTTAACTTGCGTGTTCAACGGAAACCCAACCACTAAACCCAAAAAACCTAGCACCTGAGGAACCGACTAAGACTGTCCCCTATTTGAGAAACACCCCTGTGCGCCAAGACACCTGCGACTTCCGCGCAGTCTGCGAGCCTCTGGGAGTACTCGGCGAAGCTTTCCGGCTTTCTTTCGGTGCTTCGCTAGCGCCTGGAGTGCTGGGAGGAATTCTTGTTTGGACTCTCGGGGATTCTGTGGGTGAAACAAGCGCTCCCCACCTTTTTGGCCAACGGAAAGGAGACGAAAGGGAGTCTGTGACACGTCTCTCAAAGGAAACACATGGGCAGCACTGGGATTTAGGTCAAGACCGATTCCTAGAGACCCAAAGGTCGTAGGGCTCACTTGCCAAAGAAGACCCAAAGACCCCGAAGAACGTGATCACCTTTTGGGTTGCCATGACTCAAAATGGGAACCCAAAAGGAGCAAACCGAAAGGTCATGAAAATGCCAGGGATCCCTTGATACAGCAGAACCTCAGCATTTCAGAAGCCTTTCGTTCTCACAGACCATGTTGTTGTGGCCAGCGAAATGGTTCATCTAAGATACCAGCCCAGGAACTCGACAAATGTAGATGGTGGGCACATGGAAAAACATTCTGTAGCATTTTTCCTAGGGGTGCGCAAAAGCCTGCTTGTCACTTGTCCCCTATTTCCTGGATGACTCAAAATGGAATAGAAGATCTACTTTTTGCAACAGGAAACCTTCGTTCACCATCATTTTACACTTGAGTAAGACTGCATGCGGGGCGCAATCTCAAGCAGTAATCTTAAGCTGGGGGCAAAAGCAGAACTCTTTGCGTGATGTTTGTGAAATTGGTCTTGTGTATTCTTGTGGGGGTGGTTGTCATCGGTAAAAAAGACGGCTTATCAATCTCCGACCCTGGAGCCGGGCCAGGCCGGGGGCACACGACAGATATGATTTGGTCCCACATGGAATCTTTTTGCACAGCCAAGTTGCAGGGTTGCCCTCCATTTCCCAAAGGGAACCAGCCTCGAGTGGCGATCGGTTAATGGAAACCAACTAGTAAATTTGTCAACATGTAAAGGGGACCTCGGAACTTGGTCAAATGAAGTGCTAAATCCAGACTTGCGCGTGCAAATCCCGCTGGCCTTTTCTTTGGAGGGGTTGCCCTTCAAAACATTCTGTGGCTATTTCGTCCCATGGCCACCGGGTCATGGATTAGTGATTCCAGTGGGCGGCATCTCCATGCCTACTGTACCACCTATAGGGGATTCCCTTTGGAGGTTCCCTTTAGAGGGCTACTGAACTGCCGTCAAAAACCCGGCTGGAGGAGTCCCCGGATCTCGCCAGCGACCGGTTCAGCGGTCCGTCCTTCCGACGCGCGCAGCGGCTCCGCGTCCAAAGGCCCTGGAGGGCTCGGACCCGCTTCGTTCGCGGGGGCCGCGGACAAGATCTCGTCCCCGCCCGGGGCATCCTGCGGCTTCCCGGCGGGAATTCATGCCGCCTTCGCCCGAACAAAAGGTCCGACTTTTTTTGCCCCTCCAAGGCATGGCATGTCTTCCGAGCCCCCTCAGCTTTCGCGATTGGAATGCAGGTCCCGGAAAATGCAGACCCCTCCGACTTGCTGGTGCCATAAGTAGGGAAGGTGGGAATGAACTTTGAGATTCCCTTCAAGGAAGCCACCACTCGGAGGGTTTTTGACTTCCGGCTCCTTCCATTTCTCATTCCCAGTGGGATTGCTTTTTTATCGGGCAAGCCAAGCACGTGCCATGTGCCCGCTCCGGCTCCGCCGGCTGAGCTGGCTGCGCTGGGCGCGGATCTTTGAGAGCCCGCAGGAACTCCCTCATCTCCACCTCGGGCGACCGGAATTGCTTAGATTGAGCTCTCGCCCCTCCGGCGAGAAGACTGCTTGACTTTTGCTTTTTTTTTCGTCCGGAGCCCGGGAAATGCCCTGGGGCGAAAGGGTGAACCACCCAACATGCGAAATTGCGAAATTTGTCCACCCCCCCCGAAAACAAAACAAGTGATGCAGAAATTGGGGGGGGGGGTTGAGTTTGGCAAATGGCCTCCCAGAGGCATCTCCATGGGCCCAAGGGTCCAAGACCGATGCTGCGAAAAGATACCGCACGCCACAAGTGTTGGCAAGTCGCAGGGGGTGCGTGTTAAGCAACCTGCATTTGTTAGGGAATCAAACCGTGTCTGACGGTTGACCCATCGACTGGCTAGGACGATCCACGCCAAAGGGCGCAATGAACCTCAACACATCAAGGGTTGTAAAAAAAAAAACGAAGGCGCCCCCATTGGGGGTATGGGTCAAATTCAAATAAATCAACGTGATATGGACCGACCGCAGCCTTTTTAGTCCCTACTTCAAAAGTCCGGGGCTGGGGATGTCCCGTCGCACCCATGTCAAACCCAAGTTAGGCGAGTCCGGCCGAGTTTCTCACTCGGCAAAATTAAAAAAATATCGACTCGGGAATGCGTTGAACACCTCGGCCGCCCCAAGGAGGTGTGGGAAATGAAAGGTGACCACCTTGGACATTTAAATTTCGCACTTGCTGAGTGGATTGCCAAAAAGTTCAAACTTTATATTTACCACTAAAAGGGTCTTCCCAAAAAGCTTAAAGTTCATGAACTCAGGAAGTGAGAAATGCTCCAACGTGGGTTTCCCCAAAAGGTCCAAAGGTCGGCTCTGGACCACCGAGGAACCCTATGGTTGACTGACTATGCCTTCTGTGGCTCTTTGTCGGCTTGGTTGAGTTTTGAGGGGAGCCATCCCCGCCTCCCCAACAAAGATCAACAAAGGCGGTCGCGGGTGTTGGTTGATGTGCAACGGCTCCCCCCCCCCCCCCCCCCCCCCCCGCCCGCAGGATCCGCAAACCCACGGGCGTAGTTGCGAGAAACAAAAACCTTCAGTGATACCAAAGTGGTTGAACCCGTCCCTATGACTGCTCCGCTGCATATTGGCAAGGGGGGATCAGTCCCCCAATCTGTCACTTAAAGGTCGGATTCACAGAAGAAGGCCGCGTAATGAAATGACCCTGCCTTTCTTTCCCTCGGGTTTCTCCTTGAAACCCACTGGTTTCAACGCATCTCTGGGATACATGCCCAGCATTGACAGTAGTTGTTCTAACTACGGTCGGTTTTGGGAAATTTCTATCTACTGCCGTGGGCAGTAGTCGGAGGGTGCTGGTGGACACATTGCATTGGCGGCGTGCACACGGAGGCATTGCCTGGTGGCAAGGGCCGGCACCTGAGTGATGCAGCACAACTGCGGATGGGCTTGACACTGGATGTGCATTTCAACCTCATGGACCTGGGCCGCTTCTACAATTCGCACATGTTGCACACCGAACCCAATGCTGGTGACGGGAAGCAGCGGCGACAACGCCCAACTTCCGAGGAGGAGCTGTGCCTGGAGTCCGCACGATCCTTCCTGCCACAAATCATCGGTAACATCACCGATCACCGTCCCCCCGCGGGTCACATGCGACGCCCAGAAGTAGTGTCTACGAGCTGACCGCCTCCTACTTTCCTCCATTGTAGACGTGGTGAGGATGTCTTCACCAAGAAGTTGAGAAGCATTCCACAACTTGCACCAGACTGCTTCTTTGACAGGCTCAGCCTGGATGGGAGGGTTATTCACCGAGCTCTCACCTTTGTAGAGTATCTCAGGAGACGTCATTGCACCAACCACCGAGTGGTAGGATTTGAGGAAAAGTTCTCTTCCTTGCAAACCTATGACCATTCCTAGCGAGATAGCATCGCTCACGTTCACCTGAATGCATGTCTTGTTGACCTCCCCAAGGTTCTCATCGATCTCCGACTTGACTTCTAGAAGCTGAGGCTCTGTTTTAGCAAAGGGGTCAAGCGTGGTGAATGCTGCAAACCATATCAAGTGACCTCTTCGCGCCACAGACACTGCACCATGATTTGTTGACTTGCTGGCCACCTCAAACACCAACTTTGACAAAGACTCAAGAAAGTGAAACTTCATCTCATCAACTTGTTCCAGCGGAACTGAAGGATAAACTCCAACTCCGCACATATCTGAGCCTCCAATTGTTGCAATTGCATCCACCCACTCATTGAAGATCATGTCAACGTATTGGCGAGCTGGGTCAAATCAATCCAAAATTCTTCTGCTCTTCTCAAGCCTGCACGTAGGTTCGCACTTTGCGCGACCAGAAGAGATAACGCCTTGCAGCAAAAGCGAGCAGCAGAAGACAAGCTTGCTAGTGCTCGAGAAATCTTGTCGCCTTTGTTGACTTCGCAAGAAATGTCTCTGACTATTTCCGTTGCTTCATCCAACCCAGCTCTGGTCCCCATAACCTTGGATGCAAAAGCCACCTCAAATCCTCTCAAGTCACGGGCTTCTTCTTCCTTTTTCTCCTCCCACCTCCACACATTCAAAAGCAAGTCAAATAGAGCAGGTTGGCCGATTTTGACTTTGCTAGGAAGTATCTCTCTCGTCAGGCTTGAGCAAATCTCGCTTCTCAAGCGGAAATCTTCAATTTCCGACACGCATGTTCTGAGCTTCCCACAGTTGCATAACTGACTGAGAAGCAAATCCTTAGGATTGCCCTTTGAATTCAGAGTGGCGTCTACTACGTCTCCCAGCTCAGGCCTCAAGTCCTCCCAAAATGCATCTTCAAGCGGACAGACATCTCCGTGTAGCCAGTGGCTTTCGCTCAGGAAAGCATTCCTCACAACCTCATCTACCTTGCTCAGCCATGCCCCAGCTTGCCTCAACAGAGCATGGAAGCCTGCGGCGTTCAAGGAAGGCACATTTCCTACAAGGCTCCCCATATCACCGTGCTTGAGCCCGAGCTTGAGCCAAAATGGCTACGGAGCAATCTGTTTCCAGAGATCCAACCTTCCATTTGCTGAAGCCCCTAGAAAAACAAATCCGTCTAGTAGGGGAAAAGCACCCCTATTCACTACAGGAAATGGAAGATATAGCCTCCCACCAGCTAACATCGAAGTGCACAGACCCCTGTAGAAAGACTACTTTCCTCTTGGAAAGGGCCATTTGCACTTCCATGTTAGTTGGTGGGAGGGTAGCCGTACAGCATGCCAAGGTGGAACACGTGCCAGGAATCAGATTGCCTTTACCGATTGCGCTGAAAAATCGGGTAGTACGGCAAATGCCGAATGGTCCAGCAAAGCAAAAACTCAATACCTTTGAACATTGCCTGCCCAAATTCCAGTGGTGGTTTTCCTGGCGGTTTAAAGGCAACAGACAGACCCACATCCCCATGCTGGCGACCTCGCCAAGAGGTGTGCTGGCGTCGCGAGGCAGGCGAGGCGCCAGGCCGTTGCGGTTGGCGTCCACGGTGTCCAGAATCCTCAGCCAGGCGCTTGCTGGTTCCATTGCTAGGTCCTCCAGTATAGAGCTTAGAATAAGGGTACCCTTTTTTCTGTAGTCTATTGTTGTAGGGGAACCCTCAACAAGAAAAGAGTAAAAGGGCACTAATGGGGGACCTAGATTGTATTTGTTTAGTTCATGTTTCACATTCAGGCAACCCATTTTGGGGCAATCTTGTTGGCCCAGACCCTTGTCTTGGTGGAATGAGAAGCGGAATGACCCCGATTGAACTGGTGGTTTCCATTCAGGGAACCTCTTGGTTTCCCAAAACCCTGGGCTATTTCCTAGCGCACCAGCAAAATAACTCCTGATTCCAAAGCCCTTGGCTGCAGTAACGACCCCTCTGCAAACAGTGGGTTTAACTTGACATGGAAAAAATACAGGCTTCAACCAACAAGTTAAAGTCCAAAGATCCAAAGGGCTTGTGGATTCGCAACCCCTCAAAGAAAAACCGCCCAGCACACCAGGTCCCGCCGTGTTGGGGGCACCTGTGACTTATGAGCCCCAAAAGCCGAAGGTTGAAAGCCCGCGTTGACATGAGAAGCACAAAACCACCGAGTTCAATCCACAGCCATGAATCCGGAAAGCAAACACGGGTCTTGGGTTTGTTTGGGGTTCATTTAGTCTTGGCAAAGGGCCGATATGCAGGATGCGGTTGGGTGGTTGGGGCTGATTCGTGCTAGATGTGCGGCTGGTTTAGCCGTGGCTTTCGGGTTGCTTCAGGGATGTGGTTCTGCAAGTTTTGGGCTTGAACCTGGCTAAACAGCCAAACAAGACCTCCAAACCACCAAGACAAACAGAACAGCATGCAGTGTGCTTCTTGGTTTCCTCCTTTGAACACCGTCAGCCAAAATCCGGGGCCCTGGTTTGGTATCACCAAAAAGGCGGCCCTCAGATCGAACCGGCTCGATGGGTTCGCTTCCATGTGTCCTTTTGCATGAAAAGAACCAAGCGCTCCAAACCAGTGGCACCCATCTAATTTCATCCACCGATCAAACGGCCACCTACTGCGGATAGGGAAATCCTGCACCACCTAACAAGAACCCTTTCGTGACCTCCAACGTGAATAAACAAGAAGGAAAAAAGGAAACAAGAAAAAGAGAAAACAACACGCACAAAACCACAACCCATTTCATGAAAACCGCGGTGCGCGAACCGGTTTTCTGCCACTTCCTTCCCACCCTTCGCGTTTCCGCGGCCCGTCCGCGGCCCCGCGCGGCGTCCTGCGGCCGAGGGTCTCCTCGAGCAGCGGCTCGGAGACCTCCAGCCCCAGGCGCCGCAGGCCGCGGCCCACCTCGCTGCGGTCCAGCGTGCCGCTCTGGTCCTCCGAGCGAAAGCGCCTCCGAGCTCCGAGCTCGGGGCTCGGGGCTCGGAGGTGCGAGCTGGGAAACTAGGGGCTGGACTGGGGGGAGGGCTGGGAGACGGGAGGCTGACACTTGGAGTGGACTCTTTGTTGGAGGTGGCACCAGGGTGGGCCTTGGTTTTGTAGGTGAAGGGAATGAAGAGGAAGACCCTTGCGCCATTTGGGGGGTCCAAGTCCTAAAAACATACAAAAAAAGACTCCTTGGGCTGCAACGGTCAATCCGTTTCGGACACCACAGGGAAACGAAGGCCAACCTTTGGTTCCCTTTGAAGGGGCCCAGGAATTGGCTGTGGAACCCCGGATTAAGCAGAACCCCCTGATGTTGAGCGGGGGGGCCACATCCTCAGGTTCATGGGGCATGTGGCGACACACATGGCTACCCCAGAAAACTCCTCATGTGTTGGGGGGGCTGTGTTCGGAGCACTTTGCTCAAAGGGGAGCTGCCCTGCAGTGGGAACGACCCCCCCCTCCCGTGGAAAAAGCACCAAGGGATAAAAGAAACCTGAGCCAAGGGATGTTCAAGCCCAGCTTACTAAGTTACAACCAAGGCAACTAGCCCACTTACACTCTGTATGACCCAAGTGGGGTTAGTCCCCTTACAATGGTTTTAACCTACAACCTACTCTAGGTGGGGTTCGTGCCCTTCATTTACCATGATCACTACTCCAAGTTGGGGTTAGTCCCCTTACCCAGGTCTTGAGACGCCCAAACATCCGGGGTGTCAAATGGAGGGGTCGGGTCTTCCATTCAAAACCAAAGCAAGGAGCCTCTGGGTAGCAAGGTTATAACCTATGTTGGTCCCCTTACCATGGTTTTAACCTATAACGTACTCAACTGGGGTAAGTCTCCTTAGATAGTTGGTTGGGCATCCAACAAGCCACTCCTTGTCCATGGCTTTGAAGAAGCTGCGGCCATCGGCGACGCCTCAACGCCGTCTCTCGTGACGTGCTAAGCCGGGTGTCAGGGAAATCAAAGCCTTCCATCCCCTTGCGTCCTTTCCGGAACTCCATTTTTGCATACTCATGCGTTTCTGGGCTGTCCTCAAATCCCATGCTTGAAAAAATAAGCACACACCTTTAGTGGGCTAAATGGAATCCCCTACACGCACCGCACAACCCTAAAAGCCTAGAAACCTACGCGGACGGCTGGGAGCTGCCAAGGTTCCCATTTGTCTTACAGGCAACGGGCTTGCCTTCGAGCTGATGAGACGGGGTTCCCTTCAGCCCATCAAGCCAGTGGGAAATCAAAACCGAACCTGGGCCACAAATGGCTGTGGCTCAAAATTAAACAGGAGGGGTTACGCAGGTTTTGGCCTTAGTTTCCACTTACCAGCATAACCCATTTTGGTACCGGTTTTTTGAGCCACAGCCAAATATGAACAGCTCGAGAGCTCAGCCACGATTGCTTAGACTTGGACCCCCTGCGAAAAGGTGGAGGATTGAAATCCAACACATCCCGTCCAAGCAGCGCTGCCCAAAGATGAGCTGTGTGTTGCTGCGCAGGGCCGCGTTGATTTGCACCAGCGCCTGGCATTTTCTTTGTAATTTTGGTGGCCCCTGCCTTCAGGCGCCGGCGGTCGCACTAGAAGAGGGCTTCTCAGAATTGCGTTTGGGGGTTGCCCCTTGTTGGATTGCCATGTTTAGTCATTATGATAACCCGGATAGGGTAACTTTTTTTTGGTCTGGGTCTATTGGGCAACCGAGTTTTAGTTTGGCGTTTAAGAGGGGACCTCCCTGTTCCCGTCCATGAAAGCATTGACCACCGTTCAAGCTTCAGTTTCTGTTTGTTTGTGCTGTTGCCCCCCGCCTCCCCTCCCCCCCCAAAAAAAGAGAGCTTCGGCAAAAAAGGGGCCACGTTTGCAAACCTCAAGGTAGAACCCACCAGCGACCATAGGCGAGCTTTTAGAAAAAAGATGGGTTTCCCTGACAAATGGGGCATAGAACCGGAACGCATCTATTTCTAAGCAACAAATTGAACAAAAAGACTCCTATTCCAGTGACATCCTGAAAACTACCGTATCCAAAAAAAGAACACACACACATAAAAGACTAACCACCTTTTGGGGCCATGACTAAACATGGGGAACACCACAAAAAGGGGTAGTCCAAAAGCTCAGACCAGGTCGCTTTTCTTTGGCCTTGGGCCAAACCGAGGGAAAACCGAAAAAGCCAACGCCGAGGGGCGCCTCGTAGGCGCTCCGCGCCGGGCCTTGGAACACCGGCTCCAGCTTCCCCGCCGCCTGCCATCCCAAAGCCGAAAGCGCGGTAAGCGCTTTGGGGGGGAATGGAAAAACCTGGAAGTGGAGAAACCTGAGCCTTCAAGGTTCTTTGCTTTGGGATTCCATTCAAGTCACTTCCGGTTTGTGAACTGCACTTTCTCCCACATGGCACCTGAAAGGGACCCGGCCTTCCAAAAGGAAAATTGATCTTCCAGGTACCCTCCAGGTGCGATTTGTGAGTGGAGGAAGGCCGGAGTTGCTCCTGAAAGCCTCCGTTTTGGGCTCCATGCAACTTTGAGGCTAAATGCTTGCTCCAAGCCTAAGGCAGAAAGTTGGCGCAAAGCCACTGGTTTGGTCATCTGGCTTGGAGCCAGCCTGCTTACGTCATACATCTTCTCCCCAAAAAAAGCCGAGGTTTGCAGAAATGATCCCCTTTATAGCTTCCTTTTGCTCATTTGCAGGCGTAGCCTCGTAGCGTTCAACCCTAAACGCAAATATGTTCGACCATCGTCATCTTAGTAAAGGGCAGAAATAAAAGAGTAAAAGAAATTAATAATTATTTTAACCTTACATGAGCTCATCTTGGATGGACATAATACAAATTGAAGTAAATGAAAATAATAAAGATGGTTCTCTTCGTTCCCAATCCTAGAGGTGAGAGATGGTTATTGGCTGGTCTCACATCAGGCTCTTCTTACCAGCCACCATCATTCATCTGTTTCCTCCATCTAACCTCATCACCCTCTCTATTTCCCGGGTTAACCGGTGAGAGAGGGTTAGGTGAGGAGGTGCCGGAGGTCCAATTAATTCCTATCACCTCCGTGTCTATGAGAGAGAGATATAGCATGGAAAGATGGGCCCTTGAGAGACAAATGAAAGAAGATGCATCACTTATCATCTCTTCATCTCAATTTCAGAGAGTTCCTATGTCGTAATAATTATTATCTTCTTATTTTCATTATTTTCTTATGTTTATTATTTATCTTATTGTTCCTTGTCTTTTCTTTTTATTATTCTTTTATTGCTTATCTTCTTATTAACCTATTTTCATTATATTTTCTTTATCTTAGTTTTTACCTTTCTTTTTATCTTCTTATTAGGTTAGGATTCATCCCTTGTTTCATCTTCAAATCCCAAGATCCTAACCAATAATCCCAAATAAGCAATAAAATACCAAAAGATAAGAAATAAACAAGCTTGAATCATTTCCATCATAATCTCTAGGTTATTTCGTTTACATTTTAGAATTCATCTTGGATGGAATGGTTCTCTTCGTTCCCAATCCTAGAGGTGAGAGATGGTTATTGGCTGGTCTCACATCAGGCTCTTCTTACCAGCCACCATCATTCATCTGTTTCCTCCATCTAACCTCATCACCCTCTCTATTTCCCGGGTTAACCGGTGAGAGAGGGTTAGGTGAGGAGGTTGACCCAGCTAAATTCGATTCATCACTTGAGACCCCCCCCTGCAGATTCGAAGGGAAACACTTAGCAAGCTTGAACACGGTGGGCGAAATACGTTTTTTCCCCAACAGCTGAAAGCTTTGGGGTCTCAGCCCAGGTAGGCTCCGGGGTGGTCCGAGGCGGCCCTGAGGTAAGGTTCCACGAGGGTTCCACGAGGGTTCCACCAGGGTTCCAGCAGGGTTCCACCAGAGTTCCACGAGGTTCTGCGAGGGCTGCGGGGTGATGCCAGCACTAAGAAGAGCACCGCATGCTGTTGGGGATATCACCTCAGGTGACTACGACTGTCACTTTAGCCCGGACCCCTTTGAAATCACGGAAGAAAAGGCAAGGGCTCATTTCATTTCGGACTTCGATCAGGGTGCTTGGGGTGCTTGCACTCTGACAGGCCATGGGTTTCCTGAAACAAGAGCTGGATCGGCGCAATGTCATCGGAGATTGGCGCAAGGTCCTTTCGGACCAGTGTACAAATCATGAAACAAGCCGCAAAAAGAAGTTAACGACTCAACCGGGTTGCTTCGGCAATCCCCGGGTTTCCCCAGTTTGGAATTCCCCCAAACCTAAGCTGCTTGCCGGCGGCAATGGCTCTGAGTCTGCATTGTTTGTCTTTGTGCATGTGTGTTTGCTTGCCCGTTCCTTTGTTTGTTTCAGTCTTTGGATCTGTTTGATTGATTCTGTCTTTTTTTTGGTCACCTCACGCAGGAGAACGACAAGCAAATCGCCGCAAAAAAAACTCAACCCCCGCCTCTGCCACGGCCCGCACCGCTCGGTTCATGCCCCTCTGCAGCTCTTGGAGGCTGATGGAGCCCGAGTCGTCGTTGTCCAGGAAGATCATGATGGCTTTCAAGTCCGAGGCGCCTCGCTCGCCGGAGTTCCAACTTTGGACTCGGGTAAGACTTTCTTGCCAAGGGGGTCTCGCTGAAACATGAGCCACTGGGTTTAGGTCCAAGAGGTAGACTTAAATTCATGGTGTCTCGAGCCCTTTGTGTTGTTTTGCGTGCGCTCTCTCCAGTCCAAGGCAGCCAAGGGTTAGCGCGGACAGAATATGAACAGCTCCCCAAACTCATTGGCTCTGTGGCCAATTCCAGTTGGGGAAATGAGCCACTGAGGTTAGGTCTACCTCGGGGGTAATGAACAAATAGAACCAAGCATGCCCAAGCAACCCTTCAGGACTTTGATAGCATCCAGGGCTTCCTTGAGTGGAGCCGGGACTAGGGCTCGGCCGTCCGTTTGCACATGATGCGCTTCACCCACCTGGGGAAACCTTGGTAAATGTCTAACAAGCGCCCCCTCCCCTGCCCATGCATCAAGTGGGTTCAGATCAACACAGGGCTTTGTTCAAAATTAGAGGCCCTTGGTATCCCCTTTATAACCTAGGCTGGAATTAGGACCCCAGCAAAAAATATCCTTTTTGCCTGGTTAGTGGAAAACAAAGGGGGCCCCAAAAAAGCAAGAAAGAGCCAACAAGGGGAGCGAATTCTGGGGAAGCAACAAGCTTGGCTTCTTCTTCACCGAACCGCCATCTACTTTTGGCAAACCCAACTCGCAGGGCCTCAAAGTCGGAGACAGGAGCAGTTTTTCCCAAGCCTTGGACTTCCCAAGCCGGCAAATCAAACCCGGGAACCCTAAGTTGGCGGTTTGGATTGGTGGTTTGCTTTTGAAACCGAATGGCCTAATTTCCAAGCCACCAATGAGAAGGAAGCGGATTCCATCCTGCGAACTTCGCAAAAAAAGACTGGGCTGCCCTCAGATCCCTGCTAAAAGTTTAACTTTTAGTCAGTTCAATGGAAATCCCCACTAAACACCAAAAAGCCAAAAAGCTAAGGAACCGGATGGCTGGGAGCCATCAAGGAAAGAAAGCCGTGGTCGCTTTGGGCGAGCGATGCGAGCGCGAACGAGGCACTCAGTGAGCAGCCCATGTCTTTCAGCCCTTTCTTCAGCTCCGCCCGCGAGATCTTCCCATCGCCGCTGCTGTCCATCTTGCGAAACCAGTCCACGGTACGTGTCCTGAGCATACGGACAGCGCCTGGAGATCTGGACATGTCGCCGGCAAGCCAAAGGAACCCCAGGGCGTGTAAAAGAAGACCATCAATGGTGTTTTTTTTGGGGTCCATGTTTGTCTAGGAAAAATAGGCCAACACTAGAAAACCACAAGTTGTGAAAGGGACTAAAGGGGCGCCTTGGGAAAGCAAGTTAGTTGCTGCCTAGCCAACTTGCAGCCAAAGTGAATGGCCACGACCAGGCCAAGAAGGGAACATCATACGGTCAAACAGTCGGCTCTGGAGAAAGCGAGTCGTTGCTTACCGCTAAAAACAACAACCTTCCGTAACTATTCTCCTGAGTGAGACAATTGGTGCTGGCAATATGCCTCTCGCATGCACAAGTTCCGAATCTGCCATCGCGATTCTCCAGGATGCAAAAAAAATGCAACCCATCTAAGGCAACACTCAGCAAACTGCAGTTCATTATCGCAAAACCAAACAAGGGATATGCCTCATTGATGGAGCACGACGATGGAGGTCTATCTGGATCAAAGCCTCGTAGCTCGTGGCCCACACATTGTTTCTTCTTGCTGGGCCAGTCCCATTAACAGAAATCTGCACCAGATGGAAGTGGGCTAGGGGAACCCGCCGATCCAAGGCAGCGACTTCGCGAAGCCCATGCAAACCAAAAAAGATACAACGGACCTCGGAACCCGCCCAAAGAGGTAAAACCGGGCTTAGTGGTTGGTTGATCCCTGCCTATAAAGCTGAGGTTGATCCCTGCTTATAAAGCTGAAGCTTTTGCGCGATATGCCATAAGCCTCTCTCAACCCTAAACGGCCACAAAGATCTACAGGTATGGCAGCCAACAAGGGAGGGAGGGAGTCTTGCAATTCAGGGAAAACGTCCGGAGATTGAACTTTCCCAGGGTCATGGACTGTGAGAGCTGGTCGTGGATCTTGGCCAAGGCAGCCATGGCATCCTCCTCGCTCCCGGGCTCAATGACTCGCTTTGGCCTGACTGGCTGCTCCTCCTCAGTCGCGCTTGGGGTGGGGATCGCTTCTTGGAAGTTGATCCCACCATGCAAGAGAGGAGGATGGACATGTTTACCCCCTTTCCAATCATGGAAGTCGACACGGGGCTTGCCAAACAGGAAGCTCCTGTGTTGGGCGGGTAGTCAACCACCGATTGGATTCGAAGCTGCGGCACTGTTTCTGTAGGGCTCCAACAAGGTTTGCGGGCTCAGGTCTCTTTTGGACATGTATCCTGTGAAAACAACTCAAACGGGTCCTTAACATCAGGGAACCACCCAACATGTGTGTTTTCCCTTTAGGTATCCCTTTGCGCACCCAAAAAGACCACCAAAAAAGATTCCCACTCCGAGTCCCATGCCAAACACCCCTTGTTTGGCTATCTGATCCGGACGCTAAATACCGTAGTCTGGGAAAAAACAAATGCTTGGGACGCTAAGTGGACGATTTCCCTCAAGGAACCTTCAGGAGCCAAACACAAGGAACCTTTGCCGCCCTTCTGCAGAGCAAGTTTCTCAATGGCAGAATGCTCGCAACCATGAGCAGCCAATAGTGAGTCATGATTAACATCGAATTTTAACCAGGTCTACCCAGAACCAGTCAAGAATCAACATTCACCTGACCTTTCTCAAACTTTGATTGGCATGAGCTGCCGGAACATTTGGGCATGCCCTTTAGAGCAACAACTGTTTGCATTTTTTTGGGGGGGGTGATCGTTGATCTGCTTGGTGAGTCAGCCCACGCGAACCGAAGAAACTTCCCAACGCGCGGCGGCAAATACATGTGGCATGGTGCTGCAAAACCATACCGGACATGCGTACAAACAAGCCTTCCCGGCTTGCTTAGTTGAGCGGCCGTTAAGGGCCACACTTGGGCAACGCAAACACGCAAAGCACACTCGGATAAACAGCGCAAGGTTCCAGCAGTTCATGCCTGCGCGGGAGACACACCTCTCACTCGTTCAATCATAACAGTCTGGAAATGTCAAAGCAAATAATCAACTACAAAACTTTTCCCACCCGCTGGCGGTGGTTTTAAAGGGACACCGAATGGAGATGTGCAAAAACAAACCCACGGCCCATGTTTCTTTGGTTCTGAGCGGCCGGAAGTGCGAAGAGCTCTTCGGGGTTCAGCAGCGCTTTGATGAACTCCTCCTTGTCCACAAGCCCCGAGGAGTTTTTGTCCTAGGACCCAAGCAAATCCTCTCGGAAAGGACCGGCTTGCTTCGCTTGGAAGCCGTGCCCTAGGTTTGTGACACAAAAAGTAGGGAGAAGCGCCAACTGCTTGCCGAGTAGGGAAATTCAGGAAAGCCCAGAAGAACTGTGAAGATTGGCGATGGGAAAGGGTCTTTGTACAGGGGCAGTCCAAAATCGGCCCCTTTTGGGACGTCTTTATCAGGCACAAGATGTAGCGGCCCAATTGCTTGGGCAACCCCCTCTCATACCCGTGAAACATATACCCATAAAGCAGGCTGGCAACCAAGGAAGCAAAAGGCTCGTTGTGAATTCAGCCATCAGCAAGCAAGACCAAAGCACGCCGGATATGGGGAGGGGATCTGTGACACGAGAAACATGTTTCAACCTGTTTGAACAGCAATTGCTCAAAGCAAAACTCAGCTTGGCTTCAAAGGGGCCCAAGCAGTCCATGACTGCGTGAAGCATCAAGTTCCCTTGGATTCCCTTGCGAACAGGCGGACGCAAGGATCAACAACACGAGCTCTGGGGGAGCTCTTGGTCGCTGAGAGATGAGTCCAAGGCTCGATGGAGTCCACTAAGTCGTGCATCAGACCTTCGCTCTCCACCTGGGTCGCTGGGGGTAGGGAACCGGATATGTTCAGAAGCTGTTGGGTCCGGGATACCTTTCTTTGACTTCAACCATGGCCTGGTCATCCCCGGAAAATTTGACCAAACATGAATTGCTCTCTGATTTTGTTCGGTGTTTAGCCAAAATATGAGATACAGGTTTGGAGGCAAGATCCTTTTTGCCTTTCTTGGGCCACCAGCAACTTCGAGCAACCCACCGCACCGCAGCCACCGCATCCGAGGCGCGGCGATGCCCAGCTTCAACATGCCCTTGGCCAACTCCTTGGCATCCAACTCTCCACCTCGCGCTTCGATTTGGCGACTTCGATCCCCAAGGGAGCAGCTGGGATGGGTCTGACTTTTTCGGGGGAGCCGTCCAAAACCCCTTTGGTGTTCCTTTGGGTGTCCCGAAAACGTAGCAAAAACCGGGAGCCTCGCAAAAAAAAAATAATGACGAGTTCTAGTTTGTCTGGGACTGCAACGATAGGACCAAGTTGACATCCAATGTCAGGGGCCCCTGACAGAAGGTCAACAGGTTTGTCCAAAAGCCCCTTGATGTGTCTGATGTGCAGAGTTGATTGGGCAAAAGCCTGACGGCCAGACTAGAATGACAGTTTAGCGTCAAGATTAAAGTCTGACACCTGCCACAAGGAGCTTTAATGTTTGGAAACTAGCCGGTAATTACCCTCTCTCCCACATAGCACCCTACGAAGGCTCCTTTAAAAGGAATCTGATCTTCCAAGAATTCTCCAGGTGCTAGTGGGAGGAAGGAAAAGTAAGCGCGGGCTTCTCACTTTGTCCAAGTGGCTATTGTCCCGGTCGATGGCCCGAAAAAAGCTTCGGCTATCAGTGACCCGCTGCCCGAAGATCATCTGCGTCCCTGATCGACAGATCAACGGTTTTTCCCGTCAGATTCAATCTGGCAAAGGACAAATCGGTCACCCCAAGGCTCACCCCTCCAATGGAGAACCCCGACCCCCTCAACAACCATGCGAAACAAACTATGAGGGCCAAAACAGTCGAGACCCTTAGGGCACTGATGTTGGGAAGTTAGGCTCCTTAGCTCGCGAATGAAAACTCCACGTATCCCTGGCTGCTTGTCTCCCCGAAACTGTGGAGCAATTGTTCATGCATAAAGCTGTGCATCAGTGTGTGTGTGTGTGTGTCTTTGCTGGATGGAAATACAGTTTGTCGGGAAAGGATACTCATCGTTGACCCCTCTGCTCTCTGCCCTCCCTGCAGGATGGGCCGTAAATAGCGCGTAAATTCATATGGCTTCGCACCTTGCAAACTGACACATGGCATCCATACCGTGGATGGTTGCGAAATCCTCTTAGGCACCACCGTTCAACCCTGGAGTGGCCTGATATTCTCCGGTAAGTTCCAACAAATTATGGTTTCAACCATGGCTTCATTTCGTGGTGCGAGAAGCGGATTTTGCAATCCACAGTATGCCTGGCTCATGGAGCGGAAGCTGAAGCAGGCAAAGGAGCAAACCGGGCAGGCGCTTCATTTCACCAAATGAGGGCCCCAAGAATTCCCGGTGGAACTTCAAGCAAACCTCTGCGACCCTTGGCATGGTCGCAAAAACTGGCCCTACTAAAAATGGACAGAACCCAAAAACAGAAACAACATGCCAAAAGCAGTGAAGGTTCTGTTTGGTGGAAAAATATGTCCTTCTAGTTCTGGGGGGGTGGTTATTAATCCGAGGCTAACAGTCGTCCAGATTACCCAATGTCAAATCAATCAAACATGCCAACATTCTGGGTGAATTATAATGTTTCACCAACCTGAAATAAGGTGGTTTGCGCAGTACTCCCCACATAAACCACCATTTGGGGTGAGGTCGTGTGAGGTCGTTATAATTCACCCAGAACATTGAAGAAACCGCCTCCAGCGGAATCCGGTAAAACTGTTTGGCAAAATCCCAAGCTGGAAACCAGTTCAGTTCGGAACCTTCGTGAGCTCGATGTTACCCCTGGTTGCAAGAAAAAGGACAATGATCTCAAGTCCAGCTGCGTCGTAGAAAAAAACTGTTTAAGCCAGGTTGGTTGATTCAACCTTTCGAGTGAACTCTGTCAAAAGGGAGCAGGGTGAAATCCCGTCCTACCCCCTTTGTTTTCCATTTCCCTGAGCCCAAGGGACGCCAGTGCTCCGGGCTCCTTCACAGGATGCAGCTAAACATCACCAAACCTGTACAAGGGAATCCTCCAAATCAACCTGTGCCAGGTGTCTATTGGCACCTTAGGGTTTAGGAATCCTTGGGACGCCAATCCGATGAAGAGAGCCATGGTCATGGCGCACGCGCTACCGTTGACCATGGCACGCCTGCGTGTAGCGCCCTGTTCACCTCTTGGAGCAGCTCGTACTCAACGAACTTGTCGGGGTCAATGCGAGCGTCCTGCGAAATGCGCACCCGCATGGCCATGGGTCAAAATCCAAATCGTACCCATCCCAATCCCCACTAGAATAGGTTCTAAAATGTGTGGTGATTTCACCTACCCCAAAACGGGACCATTGGCTTTGACAACCACAGCCACATGACCCCACGGGGCAAACTCACTTCCTGAGCAGATGGCCGAACGAGCATATGCGCCTCACAGTGTTTTTGGCAATACCATGGTCTTCCCAAAAAGGTATGAGGTCTGGGAATGGGCATTCGCTAACCGAAGACAGCATCCAGCATGCTTGGACTTCATATTTCCTCATTCTCTTCACCCATCGCTTTCTTTAGACACCACCCATCTTCCAAGCATTTCTTGCATTTTCTCCTCTTCAAAGAAGCATGCCTGAAGAGAAGGGGGAAGGTACGGCTAAACCTGTATGGGGCCAGGATGTTTCACTGGGTGCTACAGTAAATAGGGTCTGGACAAATCAGTATATATCCCGCAAGTCGTCCCATAAATGGCTACTTAGCAACAAGTTAATCCCTCTAAAGGCAACAGCAGGATATTAGTCAACCCGTCCCATGAACAGCGGGGTGTTCCAAAAGTAATGAATCCCCAAAAGTGAACACCCCCCAATCCAGGGTTCCCAACCCCGTATTAATAAACCTCTTACTAATAGGGGGTGTCCTTGGTTTTCGCATTACCCCCATATTCATAAGCAGGGGCTTTAAATCGAGGGTTCCCAGTAGTTTAAAC